CTATACACCGTCTTCCATTCCCGAGAAGTATTGCAAAATAAAGCATTGGCAGAATCCCCTAGCCTCAGCAACTGGACCGATTTCGCCAATTTATCTTGCCACTTTCCACATATAGCTACGAGCTATTAATATTACGGGCGGAGGCGGCTTATAAAAAGTAAAAATAATTTTTTAAATCGTATACTATAGCTACAGTTTGGTTATGAAAAGTTTCTGTCATTCCGCGAAATCCCAACTCATGTAGAAAGAACGGTTTCTTTGCTGCAGCTCAGAATTATTCGAAACTAGGTTAGGGCGCATGTCCAAATGATTTATAAAAAGTGCTCAAATATATAAAAACAGTATTATTAACTTCCTTAATCATAAGAAAATTCAGAAATTACCAATATTTTATTATATTTCTTGTTCTGTTTCCCTTCTCCTAAATGATCTGTTGTCTAATAATTTAGTTTTAGGATTCGCTCGATTTCCCCCTGGACAGACATTTAAACCATTTATTTATTTATCTTGCTTCAAATCTATTATTCCGATAAAGATAATTGTTTTCCACTGTTTAAAAATATAGTATGGAGTATTACAGTGTATAAACAGTGCGTTAACAGGGAACAGAGCAGATAAACCCATTCACTGCCAGCAACATTTAGAGCACAGTCATACTACGAATATACTACGAGATATCTCGTAGTTGGTAGTGAATGGCTAAACAGGCATTAAAACTTACTTATTTAAAACTAGTAAAACGCAGAAAATTTTAAAAATTGGCATGAATGTGAAATTTTTTAGTTGAGGGAACGTAATTTTTTAAATATCTTTTGCAGCCCACGTCGTTTCTGGGTTGACGAGGCGACCTTGAAAATGACACTTGATTTACTATATAATAAATAAGTGCAAAGCTATAGCTTTGTTCCAACAGAAATTCGAAAACCTTCCATATTCGAATGAAAGATTTTTTTCCAAAATTCCGAAAACCAATTTTAGTTTTCCATCAGTGAACAGGATGCCTTAAAAATGTAACGAGCTAGAAGGATAAAAATTGGTATGCCGCCTTCAAACTAAAACTGAAGATTTATACCAAATTTTGAAAATTGAACGAACTCCATCCGCGGGAAGCCTGTCTACCGGACCATCCGTGAAAATTTACACAATATAACAAAATATGAAACAAGCTAGATTGAAAAAAATCGGCGTATGATTTCATCATCAAAATTGCAGAACTGTGCCAAATTTTGGATAAAATCCGTCAAAGGGTTTGCAGTTTTTTGGTCTATCTGTTCGCGTGTATGTGAATGCGATAACTCAAAAAGGCAGCGGCTCAGATAAACGAAATCTGACATGCGGTCTTATAACCAAGTTGTAGAGCTGTGCCAAATTTTGGATCAAATCCGTCAAAAGATTTGCCGTTTTTCGGTCGACCTATTCTTGTGTATGTGAATGGAATAACTCAAAAACACAACCGCTAAAATAAATGAAATTTGATACATGGTCTTATAACTAAAATTGTAGAGCTGTGCCAAATTTTGGATCAAGTCCGTCAAAAGGGTTTGCCGTCTTTCGGTCGACCTATTAGTGTGTATGTGAATGGAATAACTCAAAAAAGCAACGGCTAAGATAAATGAAATTTGATATGCATTCTTTTAATCAAAATTGTAGAGCTGTGCCAAATTTTGGATCAAATCCTTCAAACGGTTTCCCGTCATTCAGTCGACCTATTCGTGTGTGTGTGAATTGAATAATTCAAAATCGCAACGGCTTAGATAAACGAAATCTGATACATGGTCTTATAACTAAAATTGTAGAGCTGTGCCAAATTTTGGATCAAATCCGTCAAAATATTTGCCGTCTTTCGGTTGACCTATTAATGTGTATGTGAATGAAATAACTCAAAAACGCAACCGCTAAGATAAATGAAATTTGATACATGGTCTTATAACTAAAATTATAGAGCTGTACCAAATTTTGGTTAAAGTCCGTCAAAAGGGTTTGCCGTCTTTCGGTCGACCTATTAGTGTGTATGTGAATGGAATCAAAAACTGAACGGCTAAGATAAATGAAATTTTTTATATGGTCATAGAACCAAAATTGTAGAGCTGTACCAAATTTTGGAACCAAATGGTAAGAAAAAAGGCAGGAAACGCGCCATGTTACATTAGTATACGAGAATATCGAGGGGAGGACACCACGGCTGATTAATGTGTAATATATATATTTAGAAAGGCCAAAACATTCATTGCATCCAAACCATGGATAATATGGTAAGCTACGGTAGAGAAGTTGAAGAGCAGAAAAGCTACGCCGCGTTACTTTAATCTAATGACGTTGTGAAAGAAGGACAAATTCTCACTGTTTTAACACCTCTGCAATGAGGCAACAACAAAAAAAAGACGAAGAAACGTGAAAAAAAAGAAAAAGAAAAGAGCTGACTTGAGTTGACTTGAAACACGCTTTCCATCAACACAAAAGGCGACTGCGCAACTCGGAAAAAACGCGGGGCACGCTTCTTTGTTTCATTTGTCTGTTAATGGAGAACAAATATGTAAGCTGAAACGGATGGAAAAACGGAGGGAAAAAATAAACTAGTCAAACATGTAACAACCGGCGATGGAGCAGAGAAGCAGCAAATGAAAAGCATCGGGTATGGTATCCATTTCACCATTTCTCCACATCGATTACGCACAATAACATATCAGTTGCTTTCTTGAACTTTACCGCGATGTTTATCTTAAAGCGATTAATGAACAAATGAATAAGAACATTAGTTCAATATTGTTCTGAAATTTATAATAACAAAAGTCATTAATACATTAGTAAATAGATTATCAAAATGTTAAGAATAATTTTCGAAGGAAGCATCAAATGGCTTGCAAAAATATCTTACCAAATATGATTTTAAAAAGTTATATAATATCAATAATTAGAACAAATATTCTTTCCAGCGGACGAAATATCAAAAAATTGTATCAAATTATGTTTTGTAAACTTAACAAATTCAAGTCACAGAAAATAGTAAGGGAAAGGAGGGTAAGAGTACGCACCTAGAGGAATTTTCGTTATAAAAATGAGAATTGAAAAGTTAGAGCCTCGAAAATATTCTGACTCATAGTTTATTAACTTAGAAAGAAGGGTACAAAAATGAAAATTTTAGCTTTAAAAAATATATATATTGCGAAACGCACGGGGCAAAAATGCCAAATGCGTCCTCTTACCCGACGTGGCGGGTAAGAGTACGCAGGACGTGAGGCCAAGAGTACGCACTCGGACGGGCCGAAAAAGTCGAAGTTTCTTAGATCTTTTTGCGGTAGTGCGGAAAAGTTGCGAACTCCTATCATTAAAAAGTGTGTAAAATCTTATAACTCTGAATTGATATCTTCTGTCGCCTCAATGGGCAGAAAATTGTGAAAATTGGACTAAAAATGATTAAAATTCAAAAATTAATAAAATAATCTCAGATTTCGTTGATCGGTTTGCGGTAGTGCTTAAAACTTACTATTTATTAGCAACACCACCTTTACAAAATCTCAGAATTATAACTTAATATCTTCTGCCGCCCTCAACGGCGTTGAATATTGGAAATTAAAGGCGAATTTTTAAGTAAATACACGTTTTACTTATATCATTATAATGCGAATAGAAACTTGATTAAACCTTTGAAACATACAAAATTACAAACTCACTATTTTTCGTAATAAAAAAGCCTAAAAAAATAGACTAATTCAAATATTGTTATTTCCGAAATTATGAAATCATAACTTTTAATATTTAAAAATAGTAAACATCATAAAATTTAAACCCATAATTCATAAAATATCCCAATCTCATTTTTTATAATAATAATAATAATAATAATGATAAAATAAAATGCAAAGTTTTGTTGGAATGGCTGCTTCAAATTACAGAGCGGATAAGAGTACGCATATCTGGTCTGTGCGTACTCTTAGCCACCGATGTATTGCTTCTCTAAATCGTCCATAGATGACCGTAGCATTCACTAAAGTTAAATTCTAATGTGGCCTGGTTGTTCGGAAGGGAGCAAACCTCATAATGATATTTGCTTAGAAAGCAAGCATTAATCCTTTATTTACAAAAAAAATTAAGATTTCTTCACAGAAGAATTGCATGCTAACATAACGAAATCATGTCTTACCTGCTAAATAAAAGACAGCAAGGATAAAAATAATAATGGCAATCTCTTGAGAGAGCTGAAAGTACATGTATTGATATGATCACACTCGCTTCTGCTTGCATTGTTGCCAACAGGGAAAAAAATCCATGCCTACTCTTACCCCCACTTCCCTTATGCCAAAGAATATGAAGCTTGAAAAATGGTTGTCTATTGCAAAATTTCAGTTTTCCGTACACTTAATCTGAGGATATGACACCTTCGTCTATCAAGCAAGCAAGTTTTTAAGAAAGATCTGAAAAAAGCCATCGCGACGATAGTTCCTAAATGAACGAACTTGATCTCCCATAAAATGATAGCACAGACTCTTTAAACTTTTGTCAAATTAATTAGAATAGTACTAAAATGTATGTTGAAGAAAAGAAAGAAACAGTTTTTTAATAATTCAAATATTTTATAATGCTTTAAATTTTGGTAATTTTAGATTTGGGAAAGGAGATCAAATTACACTGGCATACAAAAGTTAAAGAACATTTCGTAAAATGCGAGAAATTTGCAATTAATACGAAAACTATGTTTCGAAATCAATTCTAGAGAATTGTGTGACATTCAATAGAGTATCATATACATACTACACTGAAGATTCTGTCACGAGGACAATTAGGGGGACCACCAGAAAGGGATGAAGGCGAAAATGGAGTTTCACCCATCCTGTTTCACAGAAAGCTGATAACGAGATGTAACTTTTATCTATGGTTATGGTTTAATGTGCATAATATTTGCATGCATTTTCGTAAGCATAGCACAAATATTCGGGAAGATATAAATGTTTCTTTAAAAAGTCCCAAATTTTTCCGCATGTGTTTTGCTTACAACATGCAGAGTTTTCATTGCTTAGCTGGTTAAAGCGCCTGTCTCATTAACAGGCGATCACGAATTCGAATCTCGTCGGTGACATAGGATTACTTTTGGAGTGGGGTTTTATACTGTATGTTGATAATATTCAGAAAAAAAACGGCAACAGAACAGCATCCGCTGTAAGCTTTCTTTTTCTATTTTTTTATATTAGGCGCTTAACTTGCATTATGTCACTAACTCTTACTTTATAGCCAGAAATGGTGCTTTCAAAGACCCCCTTCCCTCGATGGCGAATTTCTCATGCATTCTTGTGCGTTAAAGACAAAAATACAGGAATCGCTTGTCTTTCCCTGAGGCATCCGATTTCTAGTCAGCCAGCTGCGTGGTAAGGCTTAAATTTCAGAAACGAACGCACGTCCCCTTCCCTTAAGTTTAATGGATGAGCAATAAAGTGACTTTTATGCCTCGAAGATTTGTACCACCACAATGCTCTTGTCGCCGAGCATAAACAACAGCCTTCATCCTCGCCCCGTCACCGATGAGTCATTGTTCCGCGGAATTGCGAGTCCGACCGGAAACCCTAGTCCAACAGAAAAAGAGAGATCTCGTCCCGATCGTAAAATTCAGCTTAATTAAAATCCTTCACGAAATTCGTCATGCAATATCGTTCGCGATGTCTCCATCAATTAGGACCAGCCTTCTGTTGTCTCGCGTGAAGAGGAGTGTTTATTCAAATGAATGCTTTTGGAAAGGCTAAAATTAGCCCCTTCCGGCACACACACCCGGGGACAACGATCCGGCCTCACGTGTGTCTGTCTTCGCTCTTTATCTCGCTGCTCGCGGCTTCCTTTTCATTTTAATGGATGTTGAGATGGCTTTTTTTCCCAGATCGGATTGCAGCAATTAAAAATTTAAGAATGATGTTCATTTCAGGTGCAATCTGGAAGTTTGAAACCAATTGAAAATTCACTTCAAAACGAATAATTTTTATCTGTGTTTGGCTTACAGAAATGTAAACAAATAACGATTTGAGAATTTCTTCATTTATAGGAAATGATGACTGAAGCCATTATGACGAAGATTGTCAATAAATTTATCATGAATTAAAATTTTAAGAATGATTTTCGTTTCAGTCGCTGCCTGGAAGTTTGAAGCCAATTGGAAATTCAGTTAGAAACGTACAGTTTCGATCTGTTTTGGATTACAGAAATATAAACAAATAAAGATTTGAGAATTTCTTTATTTATAGGAAATGATGACTGAAGCCAATAACATTATCTCGAAGATTGTCAATATAATGTCAACAAATTTATCCTGAATTAAAATTTTAAGAATGATTTCCGTTTCAGTAGCTGCCTGGAAGTTTGAAATCAATTGAAAATTCACTTCAGAACGAATAATTTTTATCTGTGTTTGGCTTACAGAAATGTAAGCAAATAACGATTTGAGAATTTCTTCATTTATAGGAAATGATAACTGAAGCCAATAACATTATCACGAAGATTGTCAATATAAAGTTAACAAATTTGTCATGAATTAAAATTTTAAGAATGATTTTCGTTTCAGTCGCTGGCTGGAAGTTTGAAACCAATTTTAAATTCACTTCAAAACGGATAATTTTTATCTATTTGCGGCTTACAGAATTGTAAAAAAATGACGATTTGAGAATATCTTTATCTATAGAAATGCTGATTAAAGTCACTAAATTTATCCCGAATGTAGTCAACAAAATGTCAATAAATTTATCATGAAAACTGTCAATATAAAGTCAATAAATTTATCATGAATTTATTGATTTTTCATGAATTAAAATTTTATCATTAATTTTCCTTTCAGTTGTTGCCTGGAAGTTTGAAATCAAATACAAATTCAGTTGAAAGCTGTTAATTTCCATCTACTTTGGATAACAGAAATGCAAACAAATAATGATGCAAGAATTTATTTACTTCTAAAAATGATGGCTAAACTCAATAAATTAATCATGAAAATAAATAATTAAAAAGAAAAAAGGTTCAATGTAGGTGGTGTTCATGAGATTTTAGAATAAATGTAGTCAAGAAAACTTAATATTTCGTTTCAAAAGATTGTGCTGATTTCAAGTATACTAAGAAGCGAAATGAACTGTTTTAAAATCAATCATGTGAAACTACGTTAACTAGCAAAATTATCGAGCTGTCTGACATTGACCTAAATAAATGAAATACATTCCATTCATGACAATGGTGGTAAACCGAAAAACGAGAAAAAAATTAATTAATTGGGCGAAGCAAAAAAAATCGGCACTTTCTGAAACAGGAGTTACTCTTGCACGGCAGCATTCATAAAAATTCATTTTAACTGCTTAAGAACATAACCCGAGTTAATTCGTTTAACGAACCATAGGTTTAGCAAATTCAAAATAATTCGGTCCTTAAGCGATTAAGAGCGAAATAGTGACTCAAATGTGAAAAATTCCTTCAAATCTATGGCAGACATGCTCAAGAATCTAATTGAGACATTGAACATTAAAATAAATTGATAGACATTTGAATAACGACTGAACATTCGAATCAATCTTTCTATTTTAGTCTAGAAATTTTTTTTATAATTCAGATATGAATGATATAAAATAAAATATAAAAGGTTATAAAATAAAAAATAAATTTAATTAAGAAATGTTTTTAAAAACACACTTTTATCTGAGTACTAAACAGCAGCTTTTTTTAATTTAAATTATATTCTATTTTTTAATCTTGAGATCCATTGTTTTTCAAACTCACTAACAGGTGGCGCCATCGGTACGGAATCAAAAATAAATTAAATTAACGATTAACTGATTAATTAAGTTCTGAAAATATTAAAATGGTGCATTATCGTCGGGAACGCACAAGTGTACAAGTTTGAAAAACTCTAGCATATCAGGAAGCGAGAGAAAAATTGATTACAAAATTCAGTCTTTACAAACATGAAACAAATCAAATTAAATATAAAAGTGTAATTTTTTTACTATATCACTTAATTCAATAAACAGATTTTAACCAATATATACCCAAAAAATACTAAAAAACTTTATTAAGAACCTTCCCAATTTTGACATTTTATATTAAACTAGCTGTTATGGCCGGTGCTGATCGGGATTAAAATACTTTCATATTTAATATTTTTGATGTAAAGATTACTTTTGTGTAGAAAATTATAATACCCAAAATTCTTGTATCGTCTGAAACGTTTTTTAATTAAAATGAGAGTATCAATTGAACAAGACGATCTTTAAAAACCGTTCATAGCTAATTTCTCCAGAAGTTATTAAAATTTGTTATAATATAAGTATTTCAAATTTTTTTCATAAACCTTGCAGAATAAGAAAGGTTTTAACGAAGGTTTTAGGAGAATTAATTAGATAATTTTAACAAACGTAAACATAAATTTTTCATTTAAAAAGCGTTAAAATACACCAGATCAATAGTTGTTCCTGATATAAAGAATGAATCTTCTGCTTCTAAACTTTTCTTTTAGTGTTCTTCCAGAATTCTGTTAATGCATTAGCAACAGTTCTTCGTATGCATTCTTGTTTTCACCAATTAAAAAAAAGCTTTAATAAGGTGTAAAAACTGTTTTTGTGAGATAATATTTTCGAAAGGTATCGCGGAATACGACAAAATCTTGCTTAATTTTTGACAATGATTCTTCTCTTCTTATATAAAACATTTATAAAAATACACAGAAATATAAGAAAATAAAGGTAGATTAGTTCAAACTCTCACCGTTGTCTATCAATGGGGTATCTATAAATTTGATCTATTTCAAAATCGTTTGCATGTAATCAATTATTTATTAAGTTTTGAAAAATTAATAAAAATTGAAGAAAACAGATATAAAATTGCTGTCATTGAACAGGCAAAATTTTGAATTTTAAGATGGTATATAAATATTTTTTGGGGACAATTTGTTCAAAGATACTGCTCAAAAACGGTTTCGCTTAATTCTAATTAAATAACTTTTTAATTAACTTTTGCACTTTGAAAAGTTGGCAGGTATCTTCTCCTTGTCTTAAATAATAACTGTGCAATGTTTGGTTTAAATCGGTCCAATGGTTTAGGAGGAGATGTGGAATATACATACATACAAACATACCCACAATGACTTCTATTTATATGAAGATTAATTGACAGAAAATTTAATTTTACAAAGTAGAAATAGGACAAGGTCCAACCCCTATTAGCTAGGTATTCAACTATATGAGGCTATGATGAAGGCTTACTCAAAATATGAAATGTATCAACTGATTCCCGAAGATTTTTGTAAAAATCTCAATAATAAAAAAAAGAATAATGGAAGTATAATATGTGCCCTAAAGCCTTTCTGATACGTTCTGGGATAATGGCACTTATAAAAGCACCATCATAATTTTTTTTAAAAATGAAGGGTGGGTTAAACGGATTGTTCTACATTAGAAATTATTATCGGACAAACTAAATTTCTATCAGCTCATGGAACAATGAAAAGAATTCTGTTCTGAAAGAAGTATTAGTTGAAGAAAAAAGTAGATTGAAAAGCAATGACTCCTGAAAGATTTCTGTTTTGAAATAAAACAAGTAATAAAATTGGATGAATGGTTGGTAAAAATGAGTAATTCACAACTTCGAAATCGGATATGCCTGGAACGATTTTTAGATCAATTAATTAAAAAAAACAGTTGCCCTTTTCATGGCGTTCAGTTCTAATCGGCGGAGAAAGCAGTGAATTAATGAATTTGTCGAAAGGAACCGACTCGTTATTTTCTATTAATAAATATTTTGAAAATGCAAAGCAAGACACTGACTTTAGACGTCTTTTTTGCTCTCCTTCTGCAATTACTCAAAAGCAGCAATAATTGCACTAGACATTTAAGCTCGCACAGAGATCATTAAATCCGATACGAAATTCTACAGATAGGAACTACTTTTTTCCCTCCTGCCTACTTTTCTATTCTAAAATAGCATGGGTTTCTGAAGAAATGAAAAGATAAACGACAAATTTCAACTTGCACATTAATAGTTTTTATTTGCATAACATACCTTGGAGGGTAGGAATGTGCACCTCGGGGCCCTTTTTTGAAATTTTAATTAAGTAAATTTAAG